TGCATGTTTTGTTTTATATGGCCTTATCTCGTTGTTACTTTCTGCATATATTAATTAATACTTGAATGGCTATGTTGAATAGTCTAGTTGTCATCTAAATCCTTAGACATGTAACACTTTAGACTTACAGGTGTCAAAAAAAAGACTCACATGTGTCATTATATCTAGATGACTAAGCTCTATTTTAGCATGAGGTGTTGGCAATCTAGTAACATCTAAACTTGGAGCCAAACCTTGCCATGCATTGGACCAATTGAAGGAAAGTAGTTGATGCGTATGTAGTACTATAAATAGGGGCCATTCCCTTTCATCTTGAAAAGCAAGGCAGGCATGCATAGTTTACATCAGAAATAAGAGGGAAAGAAAGAAAGAAAGAAAGAAAAAAAGGACGAAGAGAGAGAGACTGTTGATGAAATTCTTGGAGGAGAAAGAGAGTGTAGCTTGTGTTTTCTTAAACTTCGAACTAGCTTTGGAAGTAAGGTATGGGGTTTTTTGGGCGCCTTTACGGAGATTGATTTATGGTATTACAATTTGGTTGGTATTCTTTGTTATTGAGTGTTTACGTGTTGTTAATTATCATTATATTATTTTATTAATATTGACATGTTCATATGTTATCGGAGATGATTGGAATTCTTGGGTTGATAAAGAAAGTATGATAAAAAGGGTAAAGGGAAGGATCTTTTGTATAGTTGAGTCTGATCATTGTAGAAACCAAGTTCAGGTGAGCTCGTGTGCACAATATAATAGGATATCAGCGATATAATTATTGATTATGTGATTGCATGTCACTTAATTTAGTTATATCAATCTATTTTGGTAAGGTCTCATGTTCCTATTGAGCGATGGTTGCTCATCCCTCACCCTGTTTAATTTTTTAGATGAATTAGTGGACAACACAAGGACTAAACCAGTTGAGGCTGAATTAGATGAGAGTGATAGAGATTTATTTATTTATTGTAAAGTTGTAAGATTTTGGAGCTTTTTTTAAAGAGTGGTGATTTCCCCACTCCAATTTTATCCACTTACACTCCATTTTATAACTAAAAGAAGAGTGTAAGTGGATAAAAAGTGAGTGGGAAAATCATTACCCTTTTTATATGAGAAGTTTATTTTTAAACCCATATTTCGGCTTCTTTTTATTTATTTTTATTTTTATTTTTATTTTTATTTTTATTTTTATTTTAACACGCATCGGGGTCGGGATTTCCACCGACCCCCGGGTTCGGGGCGTGACACCATATTTCCTCTTTTGTTTGTCATCTGGTCTAACTCCTTGTATTTCCTCTTTTGTTTGTCATCTGGTCTAACTCCTTGTTGCAAGTCCTAAATCACCCAATAAAAACCATGTGCACTATGAAATCCCTGAAACTTTGTACCTACCAAGAGTTATACTCAACTGCACTGAAAATCTTTTCCAAAACCCTCATTTCCATATTTGAGTATGTTTTGCTTCTCTTGGATGATTATGAAATTTTGGATATGGAATTAATTTTGAATATGTTTCACGTCACCTTAATTTATTTTTTGTAAATAAATTAAACTGCACAATTTTTTTTGGGGGGCGGGGGGGCGCTAAACTCGTTGCTCCCTTCCGTGCCATCTTTGATGCCCCACATAATGAGAAACTCGTATATATTAAAGAAGCCAGTTCAATCTATTCCACCGATTGCTGCAGATAATTGGTTTCTCTTGAAAAAAAGGAAGTTGTGGGTTTGTTCAGATTGCTGCAGAAAATTCACTTGTGTTTTGCTTTTCTACATCTTGGTAGTGCTGGAGAAAATTCAGGACGTAGTGCCCGTTTGGCATTGCTTATTTGGGGTGATAAGTGATTTTTAAAAAACTTTGGGAAGTCTAGCTTGTTTGGTAAACTGTGAGAAAATCACTTTTTATTAAAAATTGCTGTGAGAGAAAGCTATATATAAGGGAAAGTAGCTAATGAGGTGCTTTCATTTTCTGATTATGCAGGAATCAGTTTTGAAGAGGCGCTAGGTTTAATGATTATGCAACAATCATTTTTCTGATTATGAGGAAATTAATACCAACAACACTTTTAACAAAAAGTTTACCAAACGCCAAACTATTTTCCCACACAGCTGATTTCTCTCACAGCAAATCTGACAGCGATTATTTTCACAGCACAGCAATGCCAAATTGGCCCGTAGTTAAAAAGTTTATCCAGTTCAAAAAAAAAAATTTGTGCAAATCCAGTTCAAATTTTTAAAGAGTTGAAAATAATTAAAATCATATTTGTTCTTAACAATAAAATTAGAAGTGTGAACAAGAATGACAATTTTATCACAAGACAGTGGCCGAGCCCAAATAACAAAATTTAAAAAGCTTCTATGTATTTTTATTAAGGCACATAGCCTCATAACCATAGATTAGCCTTTTCAAAACCTTTTTGGCGTACGATTGGAAACCTACCAAACCCAAAGTGCTTTAGTGCATTGCAATTGAAACCTTTTTCCTTTTTCCTTTTTCCTTTTTTTAAAAACAAAGAGAGTGAAGCTATCACAAGCATAAATCAAGGAAAATACTCGTTTCTTTTTCTGAAAATAAAAACTCCTACTTTTCTGCAAATCATAGTTTGATATATGTGCTAAGATTCTTCTTTTTGTGTTTTTGATGAATTATTTTTGTATATGTGTCAAATTTTGATTCGCAGGAAGTAGGAATGCTAAGGAGGGAACAATGTCCATAAATCAGGTCTATAAAAACCAATACCATATCGTCTGCCACATCTATTCATAACCTAGCTACTCAAATTTTTGAAAAAAGAAAAACAATGGTGGTGAAAATCAAAGGCTGCTATGTTCTGAAACCCTCTACACCAACATTGCAAGGTAGCCTAGCTCTCTCAGAATGGGACCAAGTTGGCACCATAACTCATGTTCCAACTATCTACTTCTACAAACCGGACCAAACCTTTGCCGCACAACCTGACACTATAGCCAACATCCTCAAAGACTCATTAAGCCGCGCACTGGTGCCTTTCTATCCTCAAGCAGGTTGTTTGCGTTGGATTGGCGGAGGCCGTCTCGAGCTCCATTGCAATGACATGGGGGTTCCATTCATTGAGGCTGAGTCCGATTCGAAACTCGATGACTTTGGTGACTTCTCTCCTTCTCCAGAATATGACTATCTTATCCCCACTGTAGACTACACCCTCCCAATTCATGAACTTCCTATATTGCTTGTACAATTGACTAGGTTCAAGTGTGGTGGTCTTAGTCTTAGCTTGACTATTTCACACGCTGTTGTTGATGGACAAAGTGCATTGCATTTCATTTCTGAGTGGGCTAGGCTTGCAAAGGGTGAGCCAATTGGAGTAATGCCATTTCTGGATCGAAAAGCATTTCAAGACCGAACACTCCCAGCTGGAAATACTCTAGGGCTTGACCACTCAGAGTTAGACCATCGACCCCTTTTGCTCGGCCAATCGGATAATATCGAGGAGAGGAAGAAGAAGACCACTGTGGCCATGTTGAAGCTTACCAAGCAACAAGTTGAGAAACTTAAGCGAATGGCAAATGAGGGGAATGATTACAAGAATTCTGGCACTAAGCGATCTTACACACGGTATGAGACCGTGGCAGGGCACATATGGAGATGTGCGTCTAAGGCTAGAGTTCACAGAAATGAACAACCTACTGCGATGGGGGTTTGCGTCGATTCGAGGAGTCGTATGCAACCCCCATTGCCCCAAGGATACTTTGGAAATGCAACATTTGATGTGATTGCTACAAGTCTTGCTGGCGACTTAGTGTCCAAGCCATTAGGGTATGCGTCGAGCAGAATAAAGGAGGCAATCGAGAAGGTGACGAATGATTATGTGCTGTCTGCCATTGATCACTTCCGAAACCAGCCGGACTTGACTAGGTTTCAAGACCTTCATGCTCTAGGGAGTGATCAAGGGCCTTTCTATGGAAACCCTAATCTTGGGGTTGTGAGCTGGTTGACACTGCCTATATATGGGCTTGACTTTGGATGGGGAAAGGAAATTTATATGGGTCCAGGACCGCATGATTTTGATGGGGATTCCTTGCTCCTTCCAAGTCCTGATGGAGATGGTTCTATAGTTCTGGCTTTGTGTCTACAAGTGGCGCATATGGATGCTTTCAAGAAGCATTTCTACGAAGATATTATATAAATAACTTGTGCCAAGACCAGATATATATTGTCTACGTTATATAAATGAAAAATAAAGAACAGATATATGCAAAATAATATAATTACCAAGTACTATGGCTTTAGCCTACATATACCAACTTAATTGGTCTGTATTGAGAAATTATTTCCCTAGTTAATTGTAATTCAAATAATTTTAGTATATAAATGGAAGTATTATAACCCTTTATAATTGTAATTATAATACCAGATTGACAATAACCATACAAGTCTCAGGTCAACAGTTCGAGCTCATGGTTCTTGGGCTCAAGGCCTAAGGATCGAGTTCGTACGGTGCTTGAGGTTTGGGGCTAGACTTCAAAATTTTAAGGATCATGGATGGATGAGTTTGGGTCATAGCCTGCAACTCAACTATGCAGGGTAGTAGGATTGCAAAATAAGGCCCAAGGCAAAAAGTATAGAAGTCATTCTATAGTGATAGGCTTATCTAAGGCCCTTAGATGAGGCCTTATTTCTTAATTGTTAGTTTGATCAAATAGTTAAGGGATAAGACCTCACCCAATTTTTAGCTCTTTCTTTTTTTCGTTACCTTTGGGGAGGGGGAAAGGAGAGGAGAGTTTTAAAATGGTAATAAAACAAAATATAATATCTAAATGGCATGAATTATTACCACAGATATTCTTCCTCAGAATTGACACGATATTATATGACAAAATTATTGATGAAGAGATTTTCCCTTAAAACCAGAATCACATTTATTATTTCTTAATTCATTATGACACCCTCTTTACAGAAAGTAACCCCCAAAATTCTGTCATTGTCTATAAATAATTAAAAACCAAACATATCAGAAGCCCACAGCTACAGACATGAAGATGGCTGCTTCTTACATCATCATTGTCCTCCTTGTATTCACTGCAGGTATATTTTATCAGTTGGGCTTGCATGATTTCTGCATGTGTATATGTGTATATGTCTTTTTATATGGAACTTTTATTTTCATGCTTTGATTATGGGTGCCTTGCCTTCTACTATGTGGCTTGATGATCCAAATTGTTTGTTGTTTATTTTTTGGTTATTTTCAAGAATTATTGTTTCTATGAGTAAGTTCAGCCTCAACTGTATTTGTGTTCATGAATAGAGTTTGTATTGGCACTTCAGTTGTCCAATATATTAAAGGAGTGCTATATTGGGCACAAATACAAACCCTAAAGCGTAAATAAAATGTCTTTTGATGATTTCTAACCATAATACTAAATACCCAATTTTCGATTCATATGCCTTTTTTTTTTGTTGCAACAATAATCCTAAAATGAGTAAATTCTTTTGTTTATTTGTTTGCTTGTTTTTCATTTGCCATTGAGAGCAAAATTCTACGAAACTAATTCATCTAGGATAATGGTTTATTAGGGACCCTGATGCCTATGGTGAAAGGTGACATTTGCACAGAAGATTTGGGTGCATGCGATGATGGCTGCAATTCAAGGTGCACATCTGCACATCCTGGGGCTAAGGCCGGTTGCGATTTGAACAACAACACCCCAGTTTGCAGATGCTACTTCGACTGTCCACCTCCATCTCCACCGCCATACTCAAAAACTTGCAAACTGAGTTTGGGAATATGGGGAGAAAACTGCTCTGACGAGGACTGCAGCTCAGAGTGTGCTGCTAAATATCCTTGACCCCAACAAGGAATAGGGTACTGTTATAGCGTTGGAGCTCCTTTTTATACTTCTTGTTTTTGTCAATACAAGTGTTAGCTTTCAGCAGCTTGATTGATTTCATTGTCGCCAACAAAATATTACCATTCACTACTTGTTGGCACCTGTTGGATATTTCTGCTATTTATAATTATTTATTTATTTTGGATTCAAAATTTATTTATAATTATTCTTAAAAAATTATTGTACATGAACTAACACCTATTTCAATCATCCCATATGTGAAACAACGTATTTTTAAATATATATTATATTTCAAGAAATTATATATATATATCTTGGTATGTGTTATATTTTCAGAAATTTTTCTTATTAATTATTAAAAATAGTAATATTATAATAAGTATATGCATGTTTTGTTTTATATGGCTTTATCTCGTTGTTACTTTCTGCATATATTAATTAATACTTGAATGGCTATGTTGAATAGTCTAGTTGTCATCTAAATCCTTAGACATGCAACACTTTAGACTTACAGGTGTCAAAAAAAAGACTCACATGTGTCATTATATCTAGATGACTAAGCTCTATTTTAGCATGAGGTGTTGGCAATCTAGTAACATCTAAACTTGGAGCCAAACCTTGCCATGCATTGGACCAATTGAAGGAAAGTAGTTGATGCGTATGTAGTACTATAAATAGGGGCCATTCCCTTTCATCTTGAAAAGCAAGGCAGGCATGCATAGTTTACATCAGAAATAAGAGGGAAAGAAAGAAAGAAAGAAAGAAA